CAAATCTCCGACAACCACTCAGCCCAATGAGGCTTCTCATTTGCGTCGGTAATCTGGCAACAGTCCTGTCAGCAATTACAGAAACACCGACTTCGAAGGTCTCCCACTCGTCATCGTTTAGATCGTATGCGCATTCAAACATTATCGCGATTCCGAATGGAAGCACAATTCGTGGGCGCTCCTTTGGTGATTGAATAGAGCATTAAAAACTTTATCTCGCAAATTTAACTATAAAAAAATCCATTACCATCAAAACCATGAATAAAACCACATTTACAGTAAATATCTTTCTGACAAGCTTATTCTTTCCAGAACACGTACCAACTGCATAGAACAACGACAGAATAGTACCTTCCCACGTGCAACTGGAGGTGAGGCAATGAACTTACAGAAGCATTGGTCAATCAACAGTAGGGAACACAATACTTTGATTGTGCAAACAGAAGGATACTCACAACCAAAAAAAAAAAGAAATTCAGCTTTGAAGATTTAGAAAGCACAAAGAAATGACAGTGTTATATCACAAGGATCACATGTATCTGAATAATTATCGAAACTTTTCTAAGTACGGTAGAAATACAAGTATCTGAAACCAAAGTGCCTCAACCCATGCAAACAGTTGGCTATTTTGTAGACATTTACGAGAACCCGGTGAAAGCACGGCAGTGATACCTATGCTCTAGAACAGATACAGTAACCACTTACAATCCTTAAAATTTTAAAAAGGCACATAATTACAAAATTACTCCGAAATGATTCACAAACAAAAGTATCGAAAAATGATATCAGTCGTTGAGCAGGGGGCTCTAAAATCTTCGTGACTGCACAAGATTCCAGAAATACCCAAATAGAAGTCATGAGATCACCAGGTCTCGACTTTTGGTCTTTTTATTGGTACGGACATTTGAACTCCACTGGGTCCTTCGTTCCTCTTCACATTGCTGTGCCCAGATGGCAATGATTCTCCGTTTTTTACAGCATGCACATACATTTTCACCTTTTCCTTGATTTTGATTTCATCCAAAACTCGCTTTTTGTAACATTCACGGACAACAGCTCTCATCACGTCTTTGTACTCTTCACGGGTAAGCCTCCTGCAATTTCAATCTATAGCTAGACAGATCTATAATGAGCACGTCCAACAACTGCTGATAACGTTCTAAAAATCAGATTTAAGGGCTTATTTTTGCTTTACTGGAGTATCTGAAATTATTGCTCAGTTTGAGAGTTCTTTCTCAGATTCATCGAAGAAGGGGCATGGATCAGCTTCACTGGTAGCATCAGACCATTTCATATGGGCTCGCTGCACAAGTGACGAATTCTCGGGCAAGATCCCTACTGAGACCGTAGTTGATGCTACCGAGACAACATTTCGACAGCTATTTTCTCGGTTTTAAGTCAGATTGATCATGGTGAATTGAGGAAAACAAGGGGAATAAGCAATGATTATTGGGCGTACAAATAAGACTTCCTATTTTAGATTCATTTAGATGGGCTTTTACTTCTTTAATCAGTTTTGATATTCGTTTTACAACGAAATGTATGTTGTTGTGTAGGTGCTTCGTATTACTATGAGACTCGAATCTTCGGTAACGTCAACAGTAGCCAAGTCACAGAGATACGAAGATACAGTACGGCACTTGGCACTTACAGTAATTCGGCACGGCATAACCCCATTTTAATACGCAAATTCTCATCCGCCGAAGAGGGGGCTTGGGCAAGAATGCGGAGCGGGTGTTTGGTAAGCAAGTGGGTTACCATAAGAGCCGAAGGTCCGTACTGAATTTTCGTTTCTGGAACAGGTCACAACGCAAACGCGACAAAATGTTCCTGTGGGAGCTCAGCCCACCTTATATGTAATGTAGGCAGAGATAATACGTACAGCTATTTTGAACTTGCCATTAATAGGGTGAAAAAAGAACCAGCCTAAGCCGTAGACCCAACTTAGTAGAGCAACTTTGTACGGCCCGCTTTTCGTTAAACCTCAGCAACATTGGCTGATAGAGTACCGGATGAGGAGCCATGATAGGAGACTTCAATAAAGGTAGTCTCATTAACCGTAGTAAGCCTTTTCACGGATGAGAAGGGTCAGTGAGAAATGGCACTTTAGGTGGGTCCTATGGTGACCACGTACAGTCCAAAAGCTCCCTCTGATGACGGCGATTTCTTGGCACTGTAGTGACATTCCCACTCCAAGGAACTGCACAGCAGCTAGCCACAGCATTCTCCTAGTTGAATTAAACGAGTTATCTCACGTTTTAGATCGATTTTCTTTTACGGGCGATTATTCGAAACTGTCTTACAATAGATGCATATTATAGGTATCTGACTAAAGCGGTACGAAGTCAATACCGCTAAGAACCTACTGACGTCCGCAAAAAATATAGATCAACAGCTTTAGCTGTCTTTTCTGCCTTCCAGCGGAAAAATGTAGTGTTGCAGAATGATAAGAAGGGTACTCATCATTCGAAGCTTATGTTAGTCAATTGCCTAACTTCGTCCTCTGCTATTACTAATCGTAACGGATTTTGAATTGCGTGCTACCACACTTTTCGTATACTTTTACGGATTCCAACAACCCATAGCTCGACGTTTTATACCGAACAATCCATAACTGCTTCCATCACACATTACGGATAGTCTTGTTGACTGACCTTTTATAAAACCTGATTCCGTCCTTTGCAAAGCCTTCAATGGTGGACAAAAGTTCTTCACTTGTCTGAAAAACATAGTTTCTTCGAGAAAAACCACATAAGCTCACTATTTCAAGTCTAATGGTTATCTTGAATGTTTTCACTGTTCCTAACTGTTCCCGCAAATCCAACCCTCAATGGTCCCACCCAACTCAATAAAATGACCAAATTCAAAACGCAAAGTAAGACAGAAAATTCAGAAATGCCTAAAAAAGAAAAGCTGAGCTTCCCGAACACACGAACTTTTCTTCACCATAGGCCAAGGTAAAAAGAGATTATGTTCAATTTTTTATAAGAAAACAACTCACCATCTTAATGTTCGCGGCTTCAGGTTTGGCACCATTAAGACCAGGGCCTGTAGGAGGAGCTGCTGAAGGTGCTTGCAAATTTGGCTGAAAGAAATGACTGATGCAAGGGTATCCTCAGTAATTTCTACTTTTTATTTTGTCAGTTCAAACTTGGTATTACCTATACTAACCGATAAACTGAACTCAATTGCTGCAAGCAGAGCATTCATCACAAAGCACAACTCACTCCGTGTTGTAGCCAAACAGAATCGAATATTTATAAAAAAAACTCGACTTCGATTACCGACTAATTACTCTTGAAATATGTATCCGATCATACATTTTCTCCTCTGTCCAGAAAATGAAAATAAGAATCCGATCCCACCCCCTACGTAACTTTATCTTTTCTACCACCATTAGTTCAATGCCCCTTTTCTGCCCTTTGACTCTCGTGCGCCTTAGTACAACACTTTTCAAAGACAGAACATAGGCAAGCATGAGACGTTATGTGGGTAACAAAAAGCTCACCATCCATTCAGTGGAGGATACGCTGGCAGATGGATCTGAAAATGACGATCTTTACTAGAGTTAATTAGCATATTCAAACTGAGAACTTTAGCAGTTACAAGTGCAATATCAAAACTTCGAAATCGAAAGATACCATACCTTCAGTGGATGTCTTCTTCGACACAGGTTTTGTATCAAGACCACGATCTTCTCTCTCAGATTTCTCGAACTTTAGTTGACGGTCAGAATTCGCACTTCTTAGTGAGTCACTGCTACGGTTCAGGTGATTTGAGTGGTATTTTCTTTCCACGAGATTAGGACGTTTGCTGTTATCATCCCTCTTCGCTTCAAAGGACCCTGTACACTTTCCATTTACATCATGATGCTGATATTCACAACTACTGTGATTAGGCTTGTCGTTGCGGAGCGATAGCGACGAAGTCATTTCAACACTCTGCTTAGCTGGTGGCTGAGTCAACTTTTGATTGGACAGGGTACGGTGTTCCTCAATATTTTTCTCGCTCGGTTTCTTTCGATCATGATCGTTTTGAGTACGCTGATGACTGGATCCTGCAGTAGTTGAATTTCTCGAAGGACCCCATTTCTCATTTTGATTTGATTTTTGAGCAGATGAACTTTCTGCTTTGCCATTCCTCATCAATCGAAGGAAGTCATTCCGTTGACGTTCCTGGTTGAGTGTCGCTGAAGCTTTCTTTTCATCAGAAACATGCACCTTTGCCGCATTGAACTTCGAATGAGACGATCCTTCAGCATATCGCTCATATCGAGCATTATTGCTATGATCCCGATCCATGACTGCTGAAGTCCTTTCACCAGAGCTTTGCCCATGAAGATAGCCCTCTCTACGAACACTTGGTTGACATCGCTCCTCAGGCTTGCGATTCTGATCATCTCTTTTGCGATCATCGCTGTAATGCCAGTAACTAGATGACCTCTTTTCGTCTGAACTCGGTTTCAAATTTCGATCCGGAATTCGACTACACAACGCAGATCTCCCCTCCGCTTTACTCTCATTTTGCCCCAGACGACCTGCATCTTTGGTTTCCTTTTTCTTATATTCTCGATACCGAATTGCATCCTTTAACTCTGGCTTTTTGAAAATCGCAGAATCACCGTCTCGCATCGAACTGCGCTCCTTATTCACACCGGTAGTGTCAGCCTGAACAGTATTCGTAGAACTTTCAGGGCAAAAGATGCTCAGAAATCAGGTTCATTCAGAAATTCAGACAATAAACTTAGCAACGGTGAAAGCCTTCCAGAAATTACAAACCTTGTGGACCTCACTATCCTTATTGTGTTTCGGTCGCTCCTCAGGAGGATCTGCCTTTTCAACGGGAATCTGAAAACAGCCCAGGAAAAATCAGCGAATTTCATAAGCAGGCCCATTCAAGGCACAAACCCCTAGTCGTTCCTTGAGCTCGGATGACATATGATCTGTTGTTCTCGCTTTATACTTCTCAAAATCTTCTGTAGTATTAAAGCGCCCACCCTGCAACATCACTTCAATTCTGTGAGAGAGTCAGACTGGGGACTTTATCGACAGTTGCACTCACCCTGACAGCAAACAACCTTCCAGGCGCGAGAGTTTTCGTCTGTTCCGGGATAATTGACCCAAGGAGATCACTGAAAACATATTAGCGAATGAAGCAATTGTACTAGCACTGAAATCATCTTAAACAGGGTTACCACGTGTCAACGTTGGCTTTTTCTTCAGCCTCGCCATTTGACGCTGGTGGAGACTCTTCTTTCCGTCGGGTGATTGGACGATCAAATCGGCGAGAGTTTTCTGTGATCAGCCTAAAAGAAGCGGAACGGCCTCAATAACGACTGGTAGTGAGATGAAGCATAAAAAACGTTCAACGAGTTGCTCAGGAAGGATTAGAATGATTATAAAGTATTAAAAAACATTCCATAAATAGGCAGACTCACGGGTCCTCATCCGCAACAGGTTCTAGACCAGCACCCAAAAGTGAAAGACGTGCGATTGGATCTCGCGCTACACCACGTCGCAAAACAAACGCGTCCAACGGACCTTCCTTCGTTGATTTTGAGGACGTTCGTTTGCGACGCACACGCTGAACAGTCCACAAATATCACCATCTTTCTATATTTCGTGAACTCTCCTTCTTCATGTGATAGGCAATGAAGTACAATGTAAAGGAACAGAATGAGTATATGAGTAAAACGCAGATATAACCGAAAATTAGTGAAATGCGCGAATATGAATTACACTCCTAATCACTTGATAGCCATGCGGTATCTCGACCTTACCTTTACTTTCCTTCGCTTCCCCTTGGTNCGTCTTTTGGTAACCTTCTTTTTCTTCGGTTTCGCTGCCTTCTTTCCTGCATTTCTTTCCTTTTTCGACCTTCTTCGCACACTGAAACCAGTAGAAGTCTTCAACAGACACTACAGCGCTATTTTTCAATGTAAACACAAATTTCAAGAACACACCTAGGCAAAGGCTCTTCTTCATAAGGAACGTCATACTCCATGTCACCCAGAACTCGAGCATCATCCTCAAAGAAGTCCTTCATTTCCTCCTATAAAGAGGAGGATTATTGTCATAACCTTTGCACATGCAATTGAGCATTGTTGAAGCTTCATAAATATATTCCCCACTATGATAGATATCCTTGAAATGTTCTCCATATTAGTTTTTTCATGTTGATTTACAGAAAGACGAACCCAAACCACATTCGTTCACTTCCAAAGAGCACACTTACTTCACTTGAAGAAGCAGACACGTCCTCTTGTTCTTCATCTTCCTCATCTTCCTCCTCCTCATCACTTTCTTCCTCTTCAGTACTACTTTCAACTATTTCTACTCTAAAATAAAGTCTCTACATCAAATAATAATATAAAGTCTCTACATCAAATAACAATAAAAGTATCACAAAAATTTACTTTAAAAGAAGAAGAAACAAAGGAAGTATTTGAGCTCTTTCCAAAGATGATATAAGAGAGCAAAACCACATACACGCGACGATTACGAGCTAACGCTCGACGAACTCGCTCA